GCAATCAACTTTCATCTTTAAAAATTTTAATATTGTAAATTTATTTATTTATTAATTAATTAGAATATTTACTATAATAGAAATCAATCAAGCTGTTAGTTAGTTAGTTATTTAGTTAGTTAGTTAGTTAGTTAGTTAGTTAGTTAGTTAGTTAGTTAGTTAGATAAGTATGTAAGTAAGTAAGTAAGTAAGTAAGTAAGCAGCTATTTCTAAACAATAGAAAAAATTTTAAATAAATATCAATAAATAATAAATTTTTATTAATTTTAATATTTTTTAATGATTTGAATTAAAAATAATTTTATTAAATTAAAAGTGGAAATAACACAAATAGCAAAGCAGGTTTATTTTTCTTATAAGAAATATCAAAAATCAGAAATCTCACAAATTTGAGTCTTTGTTTAGAGTAATTATTTTTTTTGAGTTTATTTATGTTTAAAGTATTAAATTTGATGCTAATTTTAATTTTTATTTAGTTTATATAGCTTTTAACCTAGTAGAAAAAGCTTTTTCAAAAATATGTAATAGAGAATACTTAAAATAAAAAGATTACTATATTTTTCATTAACGATTTATTTTTATGATGAACCAGAAGAAGAGTATGTATGATGAATTTCTTGATTATTGAAAACAAATTGAAATGTATAACTAAGAAATTAATTAATAAACAAAAAATATTATGTTAGAAATACAATTAATTAATAATGAATTACTTAATGAAAGTCTTCAGCTGTTGAGCAAATAAATAATATTCATTAATTAATCTAAATAGCTTATTTGAATAAATAGATTTATTAATTTTTAAAATAATTATAATATTATTTAATAAATAAAAAGCTAGCTAGCTAACTACCTATATATTACTATTTATTGTATATATATTTTTTATATATTGTTATCATCAATAAATCAATATTTTTTTAATACTTTTTTTCTTTCTATTTGCAAAGCATTCATGCAAGTTTTTAGATTTCGGAGCTTAATTTTATCAAGCTTTATCCTTATTAAATTTTCAAAAATATTTGCTTTTTATATTCTTAATTTAATTTCAGTTTATTACTTTCTAATTTATCTAGCTAACTAATTTAATCTTTTTTACAATTAATAATGAAAATTTAAATATCTATTTTTTTTAAAGTGCAAGGGATTAATTATAAATGCTAATTATTAGAATACTTATTTACTTGTTTTAATTAGATTTCAAATATTTAATTTTGTTAATTAATTTTCTTACAAAAAATTAAATAAATTTGATATCTAAAAATTTGTTCTAAAAGAAAAAATAAATATTTAAGAGAATGAAAAGTGAGTTATATAAAGATATGCAAAAGCTAATTGATTTCCAATTAAAAATCCAAGTTATAAAACGTTAATGTGCATTTTTTAAATTTATTAAAGCCTTCTAATTCTTCGTTGTCCAAAGTCTAAAATATAGATTCAGTTAGAGTAATTTAATAAGCATTTCTTTTTTGTTGGTTTAATTATTTATTTATGAATTAATTAAATTTTTAACTCTCTAATTAGCTTATCTGATTTTGTCTTTTAAAATATAAATCTTTTACAAAAGAAGAAAATATTTTTTATTTATTAATAAGGTGTAGATATTTATTTTATCTTTAATGCAAGTCCCTTAGATTTATCAAAATATCTATTATATATAAGCTGATATAAATTTATTAAACAAATTTTTGCTATTATTTTATTTTATTCTAGAGTATGTATGTAAGTATGTATGTATGTATGTATGTATGTATGTATGTATGTATGTATGTATGTATGTATGTATGTATGTATGTATGTATGTATGTATGTATAGAAGGTTGCTTCACCATAAAAAAAATAATAAATTATTATATTAACTACCAAGTTTTTTCAAATATTGCTAAATAAATAACTGGCCGTCTTTAATTCCTAGCTATATATATTTTTAAATAAATGTTTTAAATACAAAT